CGCCATTTCGCGATACACCGTTTCTTCACGCCCAGTAAGGTCCGCGATTATCCGGCGTCGAAACCAAATACAAATCTTTCGAGGTTCGCATCGACATGTTAGCTTCCATTAAATGATCTTATTTGCAACGAGGCAGCAAAAGAACATGGAATAGACTAAAATGAAATCAACTCCATAATGTGCCTATATGAAGGGTCTGCTCTTAATGCCTCCTCAGAGTTTGTTACACTTTGCAATACAAGGTTTCGTCTGCCCAGTTTTAAAATAAAGTCTGTTCACTACATTCTTCTCTTTTCTATTTATTCATCGAGTCTTAGCAGAGGTTAGGGAGCATATTCACGAAAGCTGCATGAAAAAGACTTGGTATTAGAACTTGCATAATTATTAATTAATCAGTAATCATCGAAAAAAGAAGTGCCGATGGATAAATATATGAAGTGGAAATATAGCCCCAAAAGCAAACCTGCTTGGACACTGGGTGAAATCGATGTAATCGCCTAGGAAGCCGATTTGGACGGTGGCTGGCGGCTCGACGGCGAAGTCGGATAGGCAGACGTTGCAGACCGGTAATGGCACGAGCAGTAAGATTGTTCACGTGACGCTCGAATTCAAGAAGTTCAGCAGCCCGAGTAGAGGCAAGCCGAAGTACATCGACATTGTGACCAAGTTTCAAATAATGACCGGGAGAGGTATCTGAAGGATTTATATTTTTTAACAGTAAATCAATAATGTAATTGTAACGACCTCATTTTACTTTAGTAGCTACTTTATAGAACACCACACTTATGGTAGCATTGTCAAATTGGAAATTCTAAATTATATTTTATTAGAATTGCTAGGCATAATCTAGTGCAACCATACCTGATAGACGGAAATACGGCATATTGATACACATTTACTTCGTAAAACCACCACTTCTCTAGATAATTACAAGGATGAAACAACCAAACCTTTGTTCTGGCTTTAAAACTCTGCACAGTTAATCGTCACTCATATAAATTCATGAGAATAATTTGGCCAAAATATAATTCTAATGAGGTGATTATCCATTTAACATATGCTCCGAACTTCGTTTTTCACTGTCAGCTTCTGACTATCGCCTCAACATGCAGTCAAGGGCCTAGAAACGTATTTGCCGATAGCTTTAAGAGTAGTTTAATATAGAGTAACATCTTAAGTACCTCTGCTGGGGCCGACGTGATGAAGGCGAATGTATGGTCTTTGGCCAGTCTGATTTCAACTGTCAGGTTTAGCTCTTAGCATTTGGAGCTTAAAACTGAAATGAGCCGAGATTCTAGATTAATAGCAAAATAATATCAAGGCATGAAGACTAAGAGTATGCGGCCCTTATTTTGGCCGTAGTCTCATTCCATTGTCCATAACTGGCCTTATTTCGTTTGCAAAACTTGATCGAATTGTTAGGGAGACTTCGAAGAACGTAGCTCACTGTGTTCTCTGCAATAGCTGAGATTTTTACCAACATCGAACCATTGGCTGGATAAATTCACAAGGTCTAATCAATGTTGACAGTAACGTATTATTATGTAAGGTTTAACATCGTGAATAGATTGATTGTCAATACTAAAAGAGTTGACAAAAAACAATGAAGGAAACGGATGAACAACAAAATTCGAAAGACAAGTGAATTTAAAACGTGTAAAATAGGATAAAAGTAGACAAATAAGTTCCATTCGTGCATTGCATACTTCATCAACTTGAATGCAACTAAATAACGGTTAAAGAAAGAGCGCTGGTTTTAAATAGAATCGAGTTGGTTGCGATCAAAAGGTATTCATGCATTTTCGTTGATTGGAGTAAACCTTAACATTTAAAGAGTATTCCTATACATAGAGGACAGTAAAAAAGTCATATGCGATGTATTCACCCAATTTCGTTTAAGGTGATGAAGGACTGGTAGAAGAATTTTCTCACAATGATATGAGTAGAGCTGACGCTTCCATTCAATTTCACATAGCCTTGCTTCCCTCGTCAGCTCAACTCATAGCATTGTGGGAAAATTCTTCTACCAGTCCTTCGTCAACAACTTTTGGTCGAAAAAAGCAAGGTTGAAGGAAACAATTTTTGGGAAAGCAAGGCTATGTGAAATTCAATGGAAACGTCAGCTCAACTCATATCATTGTGGGAAAATTATACTTTGGGAAAGCAAGGCTATGTGAAATTCAATGGAAACGTCAGCTCAACTCATATCATTGTGGGAAAATTCGATGGAAAGCAAGGCTATGTGAAATTCAATGGAAACGTCAGCTCAACTCATATCATTGTGGGAAAATTCTTCGCTATGTGAAATTCAATGGAAACGTCAGCTCTACTCATATCATTGTGGGAAAATTCTTCTATCAGTCCTTCATCACCTTAACAAAATTGGGTGAATACATCGCATATGACTAATTTACTGGTAGTCCCGAAACAATACTTAAATGCGAAAAAAAAATTTAAAAAGTAGTAATTAAGTTATGCTATCATTAATATTTTTATAATCCCCATATAATCCTTAAGAGATGCGAAGTGGACAAATCCTAGGATG